TTTTTTTCGTATTCTATCCTTCTTTATGTTTCTTTGAAATGGTGATTTTATTTCTGGAACCCTTAACAGACCAATAAACTTCTAGCTATAACCTTCTGCAATCCGGACCCACAAATATGCGCCCATAGTCGTTCGCCCATCCTCGTCAAAAGTCCACGTCCGTGCTTGATTGGGGCAGAGTATTCCAGTCGTGGCTGGGGTCTCATAGTTTCTTGACGTCGTGTCTAATGCCAAAATTTCCGTCAGTAAAACTTTTTTTTAAAGTCCACTAAAGCTCAATGGCCAATGCTGAATGGGCTGTCCTGGTGGCACATCTTCCTGCTCCATCCTTGCACAAACTGTGCATGTGATCGTCCATTTTGGGTCATTGATGTGGTTACAGGTCTTCAGCAATGCAGCCATTTCCGAGCCTGATCGGGTTGTGGTCACGAGAAATGATCCTCTGATGATTAAGCTCATTTTTATTTCAGGTGAAAATGCCTGCGATGAAGTGACACGAAGCAGTGTTGTATTTCATATTATAATCGAGTAAAATATTATTTTTTGTTTATAAGTAGCCTTTGAGACTATGGTTGAGACTATGGCTTCATCGGCAAGCCAACCAAAGAAAGTAATATGGGAAAAGCATGACCTTCCTGTAAATTGCCGTTTGCTCTGCGGCTGTACTACTAAGAACCGAGTTCGAGTCCCGCCGGGAGTGCTGATGAGGCCTTGATGAATTTGAGACTTTGGTCCAGTCATGTAAGGAGGCAAGGCTTTATGAAATTGAATGGAATCCTGAGCTCTACTCATTTGAATCAATTTAAACGAAATTAATTGAATGCATTTCATAGGTATGATCTACTGGTAGTCACGACAACCTACTTATAAATGAAAATAGAGAAATGATTACCTCGGATACAGCGCCTAGCAAATTGTTAAAATAGAATTGACCGCCATCTCCGTTTGGCGGTATCTTACCTTGGAACTCTTCATGGCACATTTTTGCTTGACATTGAAATGTGGGCTTAAAATTGTAACTCATGATATTTCCCGAAATAAAAACTTTTTCTTACATCTCTACCATTGCATAATGAATTAATTATGCCAACGTATAATAGAACACAAATATGGGTTTTGCAAGATAAGAAGTGATACGAAGTCCGTCGACTAAAAGATAGGCTCTATTTTTCGAACTAAGTATTGTTTTCGTGACTACCAGTAAATGAGTAGTATGAGATGTATTCATCCAATTTTAATTAAGCTGATGAAGGACTGGTAGAAGAAGAATATTTCCACAATAATATGAGTTGAGCTATGTGAAATTCAATGAAAACGTCAGCTCAACTCATAGCATTGTGGGAAAATTCTTCTTCTACCAATCATTCATCACCTTAATCGAGATTGGGTGAATACATCTCATACAAGCTAGGCTTAACAGAGAAAGTACAGGGAGCCGGATTCCATTTCTTCTGCTGATTCTTCTCATTTCTCCACGAATCCTCTTGCCTCCATTCTACTGGCCCTCATTTGATTTCGCCCAGAAAGGCGTGTGGCAGAGAATTGTAAACATTGCCTTCACCTGATTCTACACACCATGTGCTTCCTCGAACCACTACACACTCTCGCCACGAAGGCAATGTTCTGTTTCAGTGTCTGATGCTCTTTTGGCCCTTTTGCTCGACCTCTTCCCAATCATCTTGATGCTCTCGAATATTGTCACAAGCACGAATGGCGAGAGCAAATCGACGATGCGTCTAAGCACACACATTCTGTGGATCTGCTCGTCAGGCCGGTTGGGCATGCGGCGGCCAAGAATGTGCCCATGTGAAGCCTGGCATACCCGATCGTGGAGTGTGATCAGCTTTTGCTTGCAAAAGTGGGCCAAATGAAAACGCTATTGCATTGCGCTCTCCTCGATCCGCATGGGACGCCCTCGCACCCGTACTCACCTTCCCCACCTCACCTGACACCCGCCCGCTTTGCATGCTACCCCTGACTTGTGTGTATCATAGCAACGAGACAAATAGAACAAAATCAGCCTTTGTTGTGTGTATTTCACTGTGCACCGGTTGTCATGCTGTATTTTCCCCTCATCCACCTGTCGACTTCCGGTGACAAGGAGTCACTCTTTATCCCCTCTTCATAGTCGCGTAAACTCA